AAAAAAAAAAAAAGAAAAGCATGAGGGGGGGGAAGAAAAAGAAAAGAAAAAAAAAGAGAAAGAGAAAAGAAAAAAAAAAAAAAAAAAAAAAAAAAAAAAAAAAAAAAAAAAAAAACGAAAAGCAATACATACCTGAGTGGTAAAACGAACCACAATGACCTGCGTGAACCGCCTAATCTCTCTAGTTGAGCTTGTAGTAAACATTGTTACGGTATTAGTAAAGGATCTAGAGGCCAAGAAAAGAAAGTACCAACCCCGAAGGCCACGATTGTGTTATGCATGTAGAAAGGTAGGACACTACGCCCGGTCTTGTCCGTTGCAAATAAGCCCGAAAGTGAGTGACGTTAGATTTATGAAGTTCACGGGAGTGAAGCACGAAGGTCACAAGGACAAAAGGAAAAGGCCCGGGTATTATCAAAAATCAACAGAAGTGGAAAACGCAAACAGAACGTATAGAGTCGGATATTGTAGTGACGACGGAATTGGGAATGCAACGACCATAGAGAATGATTTTAGAGTAATGTGTGAAAAAGAGAAAAAGGATAAAAAGGAGATGAGTACGGTGAGCCATAAAAGAATAAATCGTACAAAAGGAGCGAAATCAGTAAACATACCTGAAAGTGCTGCCAGAAAAAGAAACGGAAGCGAAACTGGTAACGAAGAATATGAGGATATGAATCTTGAGGGCGGAACGTTCAGTCTTGGAAACTGTTATCGGTCTGGAATAGGTGTTGAAAAGGATGGGAATAAGACATTCGACTGTTATCAAAGATCCACAGACAAGGGACATGGTGATGGAGTGTTTAATGGTGGTTATAAAAATCAAAATGGAATTGGAGACAAAAAGAATGAACAGCGTGCATTCATTTATTATCAGGAACCTGCTAATATGAGTGATGCTGATGAAGCATGTATCGTTGGACATCGTTATCGAAAAGAGATGGATTTAAAAAAGGACGAGCATGAGACGTTCATTTATTATCAAAAATCTGAAGATATGGGTAACGTTAGTGGAACATATATTGTTAAACATTGTTCCCAGAATGAAAATAATGGTAAGGAAGATGAGTCTAGTGAGACAAGATCTCATGGAATAGGCGGTGAAAAGGACGGACATAATGCGTTCAATCATTATCAAAGATCCAATGAGATGGATCATGTTAGTGGAACATTTGTTGGACATTGTTACCATCATGGAACTAGCGTTGAAAAAGACAAAAACAAGACGCCCATTTGTTATCAGAAATCTGCCGGCATGAATGAGGGTCGAGATAAAGATGTGAACGTTGCTAAGAGCAATAGTGATGATGGGGGTAAAGCTGCAGATGGTAGAACGTATGAATGGTGTTTGAAGAGCGTTGAATGCAGTAATTTGGATGAACAATGCAACCATGGATTCTGTTATGAAAATGGAATTGAGGATGAAGCTGACGAACATTGAGTGTTAGGGTTGAATCTGAAACTTGATGAAGCGATCCAGGATCAGTCAAACACGATACAAACATTGAATAATGTGATGTTGCTGAACAATCGAAGGAAGGATCTAGCAAGGACATGTGATACAAACCGCCGAATGATTAAAATGTTTGGTGTTACTGCGGTTATAGGCCGAAGGACAAATTGGAATCAGGTTGTGTCATGTAGTGGTGAAAGGATTGAATTTCTCAAGCGGTTGTATTTGGATCACGTTGTTGGGTGCGATAGATTAGAAAACACGATATTTGGAAGCCGTCTCGATGTGCGCAAACTTGGAAGAATGGATGTACGGACGTTGCAATCACAAGGGTGTCTGTAAAAAAAAAAAAAAAAAAAAATATATATATATATTTTTGTGTTAGTATATATGTTGATTAGAAAAATATTGCATATAGATAGTATTAGGTTTGTTAGTAATGTAGGGTATTTCACATGGATGATGTGTGTTGGGAAATTGTTTTGCATGGGTTGAAACTTCGGGAACGAAGTTCCGGGGAATCTAGCTCGTATCACGGGTTAATTCGGTACCCCGGGATTTCGTGGTGCCGGGTTTGGTCTGGATCGGGATACGTAGATGGCGTGATCTGGATTTGCATAAGTGGGGTGATTCGGATCTGCATAAAAGTAATTAAAAGTCTAATCTAGTGATAGTCTAATGCGTGTAACCCAGATAATAATATATCCGGAGATAATCTTTGTATTTAAATTGAGCGATCTAATAGTAATAAAGCATTAGAAGTTAGCTTAGTGAATAAACATGCTAATTGAATAAACTGTGTGGTCGCCCTTGTAGTAGAGAAGGTGTCAAATTAAAGAAGGTGGAAGTACCTGGAATGTTAACCCCAGACTGTGTGTATAGCCAAGCGAACGGAATCGGAATTGATAACAGATAAGGAATGAAGACCCTGTATAACCGTAAACGGACTTGATAGCAGCAAGGCAGCTCTCTACCATATATATACCTGTACTTATAACAAATATAACCTATATCAAATACTACCAGCAGACAAATAACATAACTTCAAAAATCTTGAAACCTTCTTTCTTACTAAATCATTTGACAAATTTCCTTCAACCTCTCTTACCAACACAGCCTTCAAACCTAAGCTAAACCACCCTGTTTTAAACTTTTCATTATTTAACAAAGATAACAAACACCCAGCAACTTTTCAAAAACCAACTCCTACTAACCTTTTTCACAAACTTGCAACAGAAGCAGAAGAATAATTCATTAAAGATAACAATACAGAAACCAATGATTGAAGAAAAGGTTTCTATTTCTTTAACTTTTATAGAGCCTATCTTCGAACAGCAGCAAAAAATGATGATATTGCTAATCTTGATTTCTATCAAGCAATACATAAAATTACTACCAAACCAGTTGATACTTACTTCTTAGCATGAGTTCTAACCTACTATTATATTCTCGACCAAGAAAAGGTCACTATTTCTCAAATTCGCAAAGAATATAAGTCTATCTTCTACTCTCAAGCTAAGAAAATTTTACTTGAAAAATTCAAAGCCCAATTTACTTCTATAAATAATTTTGAAGACTCTTATATTTTTAAAACACCAACAAATACATCTAAAATGACAGATAATATACCATCAACCTCTGATGATATGATAATTGATGATTCTAACAGCACCAATAACAAACCCCCAACTACTACTCTTAAAAAATCTTATGCTGAAACTCTTCTATCTAAAACACCGCAATCACATTTATACAATCTTTTTTAATCTCTGTTTCTTCTACAAACCTCATAAATGCAGTTGCTACTTCATTAATTGATACAACTATTGTATTTAATGAAGAGAATAATGTAAGTAGACGAGTGGTTAAGCCTATTTACACAGAGGACCATTTATATGACATTCAGACTCAATATACAGAGCAGACTATAGAATCCTGCGCAGCTGTGAGAACTGAGCTTAAAACGGCAAGTGACCCTGTAGAAGAAACACTATTGAAGTCGTCTTCAACATCTTTAATACCTGTGACTTCAACTTCTGCTATAACAAATTTCTCTCTTATCACAATCTACTATTTCTACCACTAAACCAAATACTAAAATCTTTCTTAGATTATTTAAAAAACTATAAATTCAATAACAACATCACACTCTCAATTAATCAATCTCTTGATGAAGTATACATATACTTACCAAATAAACAATCCCCATTACCTAACCACACAATAATTGAACAATTTTTAATAACTAGATATTTAAATCTACCAATAAGGACAACACAGACACCATCACAAAATCTATTTAATACAATAGATATTTCAGAATCCTTATTATATCCCTCACCTCCATCTATACCTATATCATCTGAACAATCAAATATACTACAAATACAACCAACTGATACATATACTGTTCCACAGAAACTAGATATTCAAACCCCAAAAAACCAACTAACTTACACTTAAACATTGCTACACACAATGTCAGAGGCTACAATATGTCAGAAAAATGCTTTATGTGGGAGGAATACTGCCTAATCTACAATCTATATATAGTTAGTCTTACAGAAATTAAAATAGCCAACACAGTACAAACTAAATTCTTTAGCACCAACCACTTTTATACTTTTGGTCTAATGCACCTGAATCTAAAGAAGGTACATGTATTATGATCCACAACAGTATTCAACTATATATCTACAACATCTTAATATATCCAGATAGCACTATCACACTGGATATATTCTTTAAACATGACTATAAGTTAAGAATCATCTCCGTCTACCTCTCATCAACAAATACAAAAGACTGGAAGAGTACACAAGACAAAATAATTACCTGGATACAACAGGCAATATCCTTTAATCTACAACCTATTGTCCTAGGTGACTTTAACGCAAGCCCTAGTACCAATATCTCATCATCAGTTAAGTTCCAACTACTTAACTATTTACTTAGTACAAATATGTATGACATAGACGACTTCACAAATAATCTGCAAAATACTTGGGAAAGTACTAGATATAATACAAGAATTGATTATATATGGGCAAGTAATGCTCTTGTTCCATACTTACACAAGTTTGAGCTCAACAACTCCTCCTCATCTACAAGTAGTGATCACCAAATTTTACTATCTATCTGGGTCCTTCCATTAGCACTAACTCAATTCAGACATAAAATAAATGTAAACGAAGAGTATTCAATTACAAATCCATGACAAAAGAAAATTGGAAAAACTTTACAGAACAAGTGAGACTCAATATGTCACAGCACCACATCTCAACAATAGTAGAAACTAATGAAAGTCTTGAAAAAACCTGGTATAAAATATATACCTGTATTATTAATGCAGCCCTTCAGCATATTCCAAACAAAAAATATACAATTAAATTTTTCTACTACACATTTACACCAAAAGTTACACAATTACATAAAGACCTTAAAATGATAAAACATATAATTTACCGTATTAAGAAATATTTCTCACACAACATCCTATTACTAGATAATATATCAGCACTCATAGACAATATAAACAAAAAACATGATTTCTCAATCAATTTACTACCAAAACAAATCTCAGACCTAGCCACTTGGGTATAAGACACTTAAATATGCTGGAAAACCTTATATAATGCCAGAAATTTAGAAAATACACAACATCTAAGGAAGTATATTAACAATGCTATAGAAAAAAGATGTGATCATTTACTAACACAATCTATCAAAATAATTAACAGCATACTGAATAGACATAAAGAAACAGTCCACTTCCATAACATTAAAACAGATACACATATTATTACTGATTCTACAGAAATCAAAGAACATATAACTAATCACTATAACAAATGGACAGCACACTACCCATTTAATAATTTAATCTTTAATCAAGACTGGCAATTAGAATACTCACCCAAAACTAATATCAATACCAACTGGTACAATTCAATATTAGAAGAAATCACAACAACAGAAGTTCTACAAACAATTCAACAACTTTCAAATAATAAAGCTAGTGACCATCAGGTATTAGCAACAAATAATCAAACATACAGGACCAGAAATGCTCTAAGCAATTACTGCACTATTAAATAGATGCCTTAGCACACAAAACATTCCTAAACAATGGAAGAATAGTAGAATATACCCCATCTCAAAGAAGCCTCAATTTGATAGAAAACTTAATAACACCCGGCCAATTAGTCTTATAGAATATACAAAAAAACTATATACTAAAATCTTAACTAATCGTCTAACCCAAGTATTTTCAAAATATACAATTCTTAATCCTCACAATTATGTTGCACTCCCAGGCAACTCTACTAATAAGCCCATACACATACTCAATAACTTTATAGAAGATGCCAAATGTACTAAAAAACAAATTTGGATATTATCACAAGACATGAGTAAAGCTTACGACTCAGTAAACCTCCAACTTTTCAACAAAGCTTTACTACAGCTTAATATGTCTCTACATCTAGTCAATATTATAACAAATCTCTTGCTTGACCGCTCCAACCAAGTCATTAGTAATTTTGGGCTCACCCCTTTCTACCAAGTACAAGATGGTATTAACCAAGGAGAGACCATTACACCTCTCCTTTGGCGTATTTACTACGACCCCTTAATCAGCTGAATAAGTAAAAAATTTACAGGATACTCTTCATCAGTCCAATAGCTAGTACAAATTAAACCAATTTGATATCAATCTACTACAGCATCCACCTCTGTGCTAGCATATATGGATGATATACTATGGCTCACTAAGTCAATTGAAGAACTTCAAGAAATCACCCAAACAGCATCTTCCTTCTACAAAATGTCTTATATTAAAGTTAATCCTCACAAATCAACTTTAATATCAAATACTCAATCTACTCCAACCATTAACTTTATGTATTATTCTATACAAACACAACCTTGCTACACACCATTTAAATTCCTAGGCTACTAGTTTATAGCAACACTTAAATACTCCACCCAAATTAAACTTATTAAGCAAGAAATCTTAGGACTCAATGATATTCTCAAAGTTAAAAATATAATAGACAAACAAGCTGCTTATATTATTAATACAGTAATTATTCCTATTGCAGAATATCAGATCTATAACATAGTTCTTCTATACACTATAGTCAAACTTATTCTATCCAAATATCTTACTACAGCCAAACACAAAGCTAAACTTCCTGTCACTACACCAAACAGTACTTTACTTAACCATAACATCTATGATATCAAAAACATATGAGATATACAACTACAACACCACATTACCAACCTTTTGTTATGAATCAATGGTCCTAATCTAATGGGAATAAGTACACATATTAGACTACAACAACTACAAAACAACCTCTGATCCACAACTAATATACTACTTCACCCAAACCTACAAATAGATGGATTAAACAGAAATACAACCACCTTTAAAATTAT